ATTGATCTTTAATATTAGCCATCTTAGCGTTAAAACTCTGAAGTGGCTTATGTTTTGGGATGCTGTGTGCAGAAAAATTCAGACTTTGTAAGTACATGCCCTGGGACACAAATTTCAAACGGAGATGTTTTCCAATAATTTTTTTGTATCAGTTAAACTGATGAACACAGAAAGCTGAAACTTTTCAGGAATGTTACTACTGAGACATGGAGTTAAAGGAACATGTTAAGTCTCGATACATCCCCTGGGGGAATTTTTTCGAAGGGCGATGCTTAAAAAAAAAGTTTGTCGCGGTGAATTGGACAGAAATGGAAAGGTGAAACTTAGCACACGTATAACTGATATGATATTACTAAGCTGAGGGAGTATTCAGCTTTCATGGGGCATCCCCTCCGTGCATAGCATTTGGGTGGGTCGGCTTTTCCAAATACATTTTTTTCCGCCAGCAAAAAGGGGAAACGTATAAGGCTGAAACTGGGTGGCATAGAGTTCCCTGAGTCTAAATTTCAAAAGAAAAAAAATTTTCTTTCAAGCCCATTAGACCACTTTTTTCAGTCCCATTTTCCTAATTTTTTTTATCCAGAGGCAGAAAATTTAAACTACTTTCAGAAGTACCTATTTGATGGCTGAGTAGAGGAAAAATCCTAATTTTGAAATATGTCTCCTTAGCGTCGATTATTGGAGGGAAGTATTTCAAAATGTATTCTCCACCCTTAGAAAAAGGGACACAAGGATAGATTTCAGGTTAGGCACACATATAATAATAGAAGTAATGATTTTGATGAAAATCAAGACTTTCGACTCCATATGTCACGTATTTCAATGGGGGCGTACTTCAAATACGTGTTTGCCATTTCGAAAAGAATAAATGAATTAATCACTATCCAAGGTAATAGAGCGCCGAAGGCGCGACCATAGCGAGTTTGTTTGCCCGAAGGGCAAACAAACTCGCTGGTATGTATATATATCGTATTATAATGTTGAGTCCTATGTTTATTGAAAAAAAACCGTTTATTGAGCGATTGCCTGGTAGGGCAATAATAAATTAAGGACATATTGAGGGACCGTCTCTCCTACTGAAGGGTAATCAGACCGTTTTGCCGGTAATACTTCAAGCGAAGGAAGTAATATCTCCAGGGGTACCGATGAATCTCGAGCCGCGTTCTTTTTTACAGTGCGCTTGGCAACGAAAGCGGCGCCCTTGGCCGGCACGGCCTCGTATTGCATTACGCGAACCCCGTAAGCGTAATGCAATACATGGGCGCGCTGCCAAGGTCGCCAGACCCTGATCTCTGGTGAGGGGAGGGCGGGGTTTCCTGTTTTCTCGAGCCGTGCTCGTGCTCATGCGTGCTCCGCGTGATCGTGCGTTGAGTGCGTGATGCGTGGATTGCGTGAGGGGATGGAGAAGTGGGACTTTTTCGTTGCACAATTGTGTCGCACTTAGGCAATTATAGAGGGTGTCCCAAATGTCACTATGGACGTGGCACTGTTCAGGTTTCGCACATTTTAAAATAATTAATAAATGATAATAAAGTATTATGAAAACATTTTAAAACCAAACCCACAATTATCACAACCAGAAGGGAAGAAGGGATTATTGGGAAAGGAATAAATAATACATTATAAATTAGAAATAATTTTTAAAATAAATGTAAAAAGTGCGAAATGTGTACACCTTTAGGTTTATGGTGACTTGGGGCAATCCTTTATGTTTCAGTGACTATTCAGTGGCATGCTTCCTAGATTCAATTTTCAAGCTTTTACGTTCCGCTGTCGGTGCGACAAAATTCGCCGACGGGCATGAAGTCATTCCGGTGGTCGATTTGCACTTGGAGGTGATTGATGCGGGACTTTTCCATTTTCGGCAGGTACTTCGTGGCGAAAGCGAGGGAGAAAGGAAGGAGGAGGCGACGGCATAAATTTCCTCCTGGATGATCTGCTTTTACAGGGGCCAAGAGGAGGTGCCGATCGTCTCAATTTGGAGGAAGTAAGACAAGTAATGACATCCATCGAAGTAATGATATCCATCCCGCGAGGGATGGATGCCATTCTGCCTTGCTGGAAGGAGGCGATAATTCACTACGAGGATGTACTCCAATTTTGTTTCATTCCGCGCGGCTGCCACCTTTTCCATGCCGCTGCTTTCCTCCCTTCTCCCTCACCCACATTCATCTGTCAAAGAGGGAAGAGAGAATGAGAGGGAGAGAGAGAGAGGGAGCAGCTTCTTCTGCTGTCATTCATTCACAATGACCGCGAACTAGCAGGATGCAGGTCTTCGTTCTCCCTTTGAGTTTCCTTCAAGCGTTAATGCCCATTCCATGATATATTCATTTCCTGTTTTTAAGGAGAATTCAGGGACGATGAGGAAAGCGGAACGGTCTAAGAGATTGTCCCAGTTCTCGCCGCCCTTGGACGCATTTTCGAATATCTCCACGAGTTTCAGCATTGCCCATTCCACACTCTGCCCAGGACGAGACGCAGGCATTTCAGGGTCATTCCGAGCGAACTCCACCAAGCCGTGCGCGAAACCATGTCGGATTTTGAGATTTAAATTCTCAGTCGATCTAAATGGAGAAAAAATTGCATCCTTGTATCTGCGGTTAGTGTGATACAACTCCCGGACTTTTAAGCCAAGCATCATTTGATGTATTTTTTTTTTCGAATGATAAGGCCGCTCACGCGCGCAACTTGAGTGGCCTGTCGTAATGACGTCAACATTGACGCCAGTCTCTGCTCACAGTCTTAGTGCGAGACCTGCAATATCGAAGAAAAAAAAATTCTAGCCAACGTTGGTCGCTTAATGCAACGGTTCAACGAGGATCGAGACTTACTGCACCCTGTCACAACCGGGAACTCTATCTTCGTCTCAGGCATAAATTTTTTCCATCCCAACGATCATGTTAATTGTAATCGTAATTGCAATTGTAATGCATGTCGGTGTAATCGTGCGTATCATATGCAAGATCGAGTGGCACTTTCATTACGTTCAAGATAGTGACTTGAGTGCGTTTTTTAATCAGCTGTTTTGACTGACGACTTTCAGCATAATTTTGGCAATAGTTACGCATGCAGCCTGCATTAAATCATGTTCCAAATCGCTCTGACATTCATCGTCAAACTGAAAGTAATCCAATCCAGATGATTCTCTCACTACCCGCTTTACCAACGAACATCGGGTAACGCCAGACCTTCATGCCGTCGCGAAATACGTTCCCAGCTTGCACGCGTCGAGAAAAAACTTTTTGAATGCTAACGACCTTAGGGTATGTGAGGTAGTCCTGGGAATCGGATACTCTGCTAAAAGGCAGAGCACCACGAAGAAGATCGTGATGAGGAGGCAGAACAGGCGTCCCGCCAGAGAATAAGACTCGATGTGCGGAGATCCCATGCCCGCTCAAGCGAGACGCGGAGAATTCTTCAGCCCAGCCCACCGGAGTCTTTTCTTTTTCTTTGCATTTTCGAATCTAAAATGAAGACAAATGGAGGGTATTAGTGTGATTAATGTGATTGCAGGAATATTTCATCTCATTCTGTGAATTTAAAATCCCTGTTGATGGTTAAAGTCGTCTCTGAGAATACTGTATTGCATATATAGGAATATTTTTTCCCTCCTACGTCTTCCATTGGTGATGAATGTCCCATTAAAAGTAAAAGAAACAATGTTTTCTACGGTTCCCTGAGTAGAAAAAGATTTGCGTTGGCAGCACAATAGCTTGCCCCTCTCTCGGTTAGTGTTATTTGAATTGAGGATTGAGGTAATACAATTTTTCTGGCATTCTCCTTCTCGTCGATTAAGGGAAACGAAGACACGAGGACATCAAGGGATTGAGGAGATTCTCTTCCTAAACAAGCTAGAATGCGTGATCCAAATCGAAATGAGTTTCGATCTCGTTCCTCCTCCGCTCGCAGGAGAGATTAGTTTGCATATTTTCGCTTCTCACGAATTCTTCAACTGAGTCCGTAACGTTGAAGGAGCCTGTTTCAATCCTGATTTTTTGGCCATGCCCAAAGAGGATGGAGCAATCCTGAAGGGAAGAAGCCTCTTGCGAAAGAGATTCCAGATGGATTGCCGGCATTTTCCAGAACGTCGAGCGAAAAGGGAATTTAAAGGGTTTTAAAGGTGATGGACAGTTTTTAGAGTCGTCATCCTGCCATGTTGTTGAAAGGTCGCATTGGTGGCACACAGGCCTATTCGTGTCCCGTCAGGAACGATGCATGTGAAGCCCTCCATGCTCTCATACTCTCAAGAGATTTTTTTTTTCGGAGGGGAGGGGAGGGGGAGAGCTGACATGAGGATAATGGAAAGAGAGGAACATGTGATGAAAAAAAATGAAATGCTGGGAACTACTTTAACGATGGGTTCAATTTTCTTTGCGTCGAGGGTTGATGATGAAGTCAGCCGGATCTGGGCTTGACAGCATGATACGATGGGGGACTCCCAGGTCATTCAATAGAAGGAACACTTAGGCTGCAAAATGCGAGGTCTCAAGCATGACTTTAATCTGTTGCTGTGCCGATGGCCGATTATGATTTCATACAGATCGGACTGTGTTGGTGTCGGTGCCCATTGTGATGTATGGAGAAAGAGCGGAGAACCATTATATCATATATTTATTTAAATTGTCCTATTAGTAAGTTATTTTCTAGCTTTCTTAGGGCTGTCGAGCTGGATATTTCGAAAAGATCGATGTATCGACCTGAAATATCAAAATTGCATCCATGCACCCGGGGGTTGGGAGGTGTGATTTCTGGACGAATATTAAATGAATGTAATAAACTATTGAAAATGACATCCATTCATCGATGGATGCATCGGGATGGCACTAATTCATCCCATTGCAGTCGAGAATCAGTTGGCAAGCCCCGTTCACGAGTTTGTCTTATTCGTTCTGCACGTTCCTCTTCGGCAACCAGCAACGGGAGTTTGCAAAGTAGCCGATGGCGTTGATAGGGCCATATCGGCGGCCGATACCGGTGGTTGCCCGATGCATCGGCACTGTCTTACTTTAACTATCCTGTTGCGGTCGCTCAACATGGGGTAATGGCATGGTTCCATTAAGCACGCTCAAGAAATGAGGAAAAGCGGGAAAAACATGCATGGAATGGGAATTTAAAAGAAAGAAAAGAGAACATAGAAGGTAGAAAAGCAAGAAGAGGAGCAAGAAATAGAGCGAACACAAACAGAAGGAGAATGAGAAAAAAACGTTGCAGGATCCTCAAAATCAGAGCTGCAAAAGCAGACATTACGAGCGAGGACGACTTTTTCCCTCGCTTTGATCATCCGCCTTCCGCTTGTCATTCATCACTTCCCGCGAGACTCCGGGCTTTCTTCCACCTCTCTCGTGAAGATCCCAGCCTCATGCATGGAAGATGACTCCGACACATACCGGGTGAGACAAAAAAAAAAACACGCCGCTCTTTGAGATCAATCAGATAGAAGATAGCAAATTCTTTTTTTGCAAGGACTTCTACGTACCCTTGAAACGTCCTAAAATTCTCATTCATTTTTTTCCCAGCCGATTTAGCAAATGAGCAAAAAGGCGAAGGCAAATCGAATTTTATTTTTGCTCGAGGAAACGTATCAGCAGAAGCGTGGTTTGCAAATCTCGGGCCGAAGCTCCTCCGTCTCCCCATGAAAACGTTGCTCTTTGCGAAAATATTGATTGGGCAGAATTTTGCAAGAATTTTAAGGCAATTGATTAAGGAAATGTAGGCCTTTTGTTAAGAGATTGATTCACAAGCTGCGAGGAAGCGGCTTATCTGAGAGGAAGCGAAGCAGCGGAAGACTAAAATTAGCCGGAACTGAAAGAAACGGCGTTCATGTGGAAGAAGTCATTTTCTGTCAATATGGTAATATGCAAAATTATTATATGCAAATCTCGAGACGTAAGGACGAGGAAGTCAGAGATCTTCCTGAAGCGCAGAGGAAAAATATCCTGAGAGGAATTGTCATTCCTCGTGGGTGGGACAGGTCCTCCCGTCAACTTGCGAGTGCAATAAATAAAATTCCAGTCGCTTTTGGCAAATCTTTATTGTGCCAAAACGGCTGGAGATAGCAAGCCAAAAGTTTTCGAATGCTCAAATGGATCCGTAGAGGTGTGTATGAGAGGAATTTCATAGTTCTAGCTGCCGTTTCAGAGGTGCCACAATTTTTTTTGTATTTTTTTTGTCTCACCCGGTATAGCATTGGTTCGACACGAGTATGAGAGGGGACCGTCGTCCGGGTTCGGCTCGTTTCTATTTCGTTCCCATCACGCAATGAGATATTCCGGGAAATTGGATGAATGAGATAATTACATCATTTCTCCCGTTTAATCAGTGAGGTTTGCCAATTGCTCCTTCTCCTCAGCCTTCCCTCTTACTTACCGTCATTCCCGCTCCATCGTCACGACAACGCCTCGATCGAAGGCGGTCCCAGCAAGCGTCGCTCTCCGGGCCCTGACGCGGATCGCAGTTCATGGAGCCGATGCTGGATGAGTCGAGGATGTTGAGGGCTCCCTGCGATCGATCGACCCTTGATGAACGCCTGTTCGAGGGATTGATGTGCCATCATGGGTGACCATGTGTCACCTATACATATATATTATTAAAGACCCCTGTGTTATTACTCTCAAGACGCTCATTGCGTCCAGTTTGCACCATTTTTTATGGTGCTTAATATTGACATTTTCTCAGAAGTTTGCGCCTTTCGTGACTCTCACGGGAGCCTGGCGGGCACAGCCTTCTGCAAGTAGAGCAAAGGAGGTAGGAGTTTCTCATCAATCACCGGTTGATGAGAAACTCCTTCATCTCAGTTCTCGCACCTTTTTGCATCGACTAAGCTTCCAGTCGATTCGAGGAAACCGAAAGAGAAATACGTTCAAATTCGGTTCATCACGAAGCATCTGGTCAAGCAGATTTTCATCAGGGCAATGCTAAGGGGACCGCTTGATCCAGCGAGTCTAAATTTCGTAAATACAATTTTCGTAACCTTCAAATGCCATCATATATCTTTTAAATAGCAGAACCCCTGCAAACTTCCAGATAATTTTACCGCTATACACATAACATCCGCCTCATCGGGCAACGAAACCAGACTCCCGTCAGTACCATGCACTTACACGCCACGAGCCGACTCCTGTCAATGACGTAATGATAAGCGTTAATGGGACTGTGAACTTCGAGCTCGGGGCCAAGGTCCTTTCTTTTATCTGCACGGATGCCTGTGGATGTCACGTGGGGTCCCCTGCGTTTGGAGGGCTTTCCTCTAACTCATGCGCCTTCCGCGTGATTCCTGTTCCATCGAAAGATAACAGTTGGAGGAGGAATACCGGAACCTTTATTTTTCTTCCGCGTTCGAGCCACTCTGATGCGAGGTCACAACTTCGCCACAACCGGATTTCCGTTCGTCTGATGAAATCTCGACATTGGGATGAATCGGGCCGTTCGGGGAATCAGCAATGGAACGATTCAGCTGCAAGGAGATGAGGCGTTCCTTAGATAATTTCACTTTTTTGTGACTCATATACTCCATACATTTCGTTGCTACTGAACCTTAATGAGGGGAAATTCGCTTAATAGGATGGGAATGCAATGATGACATTCAATTGCTGCAGATTTCCTTGCATTGATTATGATATTGCCTATGCGATCCCCATCCGCGCTGCAAAATCAACGGAATCCAATAGTCATGCTTTGACAATGATAACTATCTTTCCAATAGAATCGCGAACTTCCCGATGCATGCTCATTCTTCCATAGGGCAAAATGTACGAAGTGCATTGGAAAGTTGCCTGGCGCAGAACGGTATGTTTTCAGTGGAAACTTTCAAAGGAGAGCAAATGAGAAAAGAGTTGGGAAGGGGGACTCGAAGGCCATTATTACTACCACAGTGTTCCTCGTTTTCAAAGGGGAGGATATCATGCTCAATCTTACCCGTTGGGGATAGATGCCAGGCTTTCATGAAAGAATTACATGTCAGCATTCCCCTTCAGACGCCGCACTTCGAAGCCGCTTCTCTCCTGCCTCCTCCCTCACCCACAATGACCTGCGTGACGTCGGGGCAGAGACCCCAGCTTTCTCTCGAGAGCTGGGTTCACGAAGGACGGGGGCATTTGGACCAGGGTCTGCATCCCCGTCTCCTGCATTTCCTTCCGATTTTTCTCGGCGGAATGCACGGATGGGTGCCTCGAATTCGGCGCTGGGTGATTCTTCGTCGCCATATATATATATATATATATATATATTATTATATATTCCTATAATATATAAAAAGGTTGGCTTAAATAGCAAATACCCAAATGGGCGGTGAAAACCGCTCACATTTGAGGCGTGCATATAGATTGAATTAAAGTAAAACAGTGATGCCTTCCCTAGCAATAGCCACCCAAGGTAACAAGCAGGCTATGACAGGCTCCTAGCCCAGAAGAAGAGGACATATAGCAATTATATTAGAAGACTCTGGTCTTACAGTTTACTGTGGTGCCGTTTTTTGGTTTTGGCTATTTTGGGGTGGTGGGAGGTTGGTTGGCTTTGGTTTGGTGGAGGATTAATAGCATCCAGAGTCTTCTAATCTAATTGCTATATGTCCTCTTCTTCTGGGCTAGGAGCCAGTCATAGCCTGCTTGTTACCTTGGGTGGCTATTGCTAGGGAAGGCATCACTGTTTTACTTTAATTCAATCTATATATATATACAACAAATGCTGTGCCGCACCTTTTTGGAAAATGTTCTGACACTACGTCAACAATGGCTTCGATGACAACAGTTCACTTTTAAAAGAGTTGCACTCCTCAGCAAGCGAGTGTTTTTGAACTGCGAGGAAAAAATCCGGCTAAAAAATCCGGGGAGATTTAAATATTTAAATCCGCGCGATAAAGGTTAAAGAAACGTTTTACGGCAGCGCTTGAATGCGGCCGCCACGAAGCCGGATGGTGCTTTGCCTCCACTAGGCGATCATGTTAACGGCGACCGTTCCGAACGTTGAATTTCAGATAGTTTTGCACCTGTCATTGCTTAGTGCTGCCGAATCGGAAGGAAGATTCGTTCCTGTTGCGACCCTGCCCGAAAAGCCATTGCTCCTGTTTCTCCGCTCTTTCGTTCAGTTACAGACAGAATTATTATTCCCTTTTTAAATAGCAAAAGCGTTGCTGTTTCGCGGGGATTATGTAGATTTGCAATATTGTGTTGGCATTCAGACAGTCCCTTACATTGGGAGATGTTGAGCGGATTGCATCGAGGCATGTCGTTGAGGTTGTCGAAGAGGGGATTCACTCTCTCCTTGCAGCCGCATATCTCACGGTACCAGCTCTCGGCGCAAACCTTCATGCATGCCTGCGAAAATCACTTAGCTCTGACATTCATTTGGCGTGTTTGCTGTCGTGGGTGAACGTGGAGGGGATGCCCACTATCGTACAGGGTGGATCATTGATACGGGAGTCGAGTCATTAGTTTACCCTTTTTCGTGCCATGGGCACAAAAAAGGGTAAACTAGTGGTTTGGTTCAACAAGGTTTGAGATATTCCTCTCGCTCTTCATCTCTGTGTCCTTGGCACGAGGTACTAATTATCGCAACGGCACATCTCTTGCAGCTTTAATGATATATCTCTTCACTCTACTGAGGACAGGGCCGTGCTACCGTCCGAAGCTTCTTTTCTGCCGTTGCCTTTTGGTCCTGCTCTGCCGATTTTGATCCATCCACTTGTAACCTCTGTGAAACACAACCGTCACGAATCCGCTCCCTTCCAATTTCATTCTCTCCCAATCAGCGACCTAACAACCATTTTTTATTCTCCCCATGTTGATTGGTCATTAGGCTGTCATTGTTAGTAGTCATGAAATTGCTGGCTGTTGGACAAAGCAAGTGTAACCTTTATCTCCCTACTGGAAAATACCAAGTCGCGCTGTAGTGGGAGATGCTGGAAATGAATAAACTCTGGAATTGGAGTCCATCTTGGCTGTTAACCCTTGCAGGCAAAGTGGTATCACAGTGGATCCGTAATTTCATTATTTTTCACTGACAAAATGACAAAATGACCTTGCCTCTAAACAAAATGCCTCATTTACCTACTGGATAGGGGTGTCCTCTCTTATGCAAGAGTTTAACTCGGTCGAGGAATGAAGTATGAGAGTCAGTAGAGTATAAAAAAGCGTCGATCGCCATTTAGTAGAAGGTTAGAGGTAGCCATGTATGTATTAATACCTTGCGTCACAGTGGCTTCAGTGTGAAACGACCGCTTCACTTGTATATTAATGTAAATAAGTTTTATTCAAAGAATTCATGCAGTTAATATTTTCATATTAGTGTTTTTTTTCATTTTAATTCATAATTTCATTCCTTTCGTCTGATTTGAATCACAAAGTTCATTGTAGTTGCCGAAAATGAAGGAATTGAAGGCATGAGATGGAATTTTTGTTTTGCTCATTGTGTAGCAACGTCGATTTCAAAAGGTCACGATTGATCGTAGCTTTGTATGATCGAATGAAAACGAGAGATGCTATAAAAGTCACGGCTTACTGGTTGGGAATAGTTTCCAAGGTGTATCCAATCCCAGTCCATGCAGTCTCCATAGGGGCTTCCCACTCGCCTGATATCTTCCTGTGATCATAAGCGATTTCATCGCGAGCATAAGAAGGAGAGAGAAGCAACATGCGATTTGAGATCATCTGCTTCTGTTCCCTATACGGAGTATCTTGCTAACGCAGGCCCTTGAGGCCCTGCGCCCCACGCTCAACCGTCTGAGGGAGGCAGTGGTGATGATTCCGGGAGGGATGTTGAAGCCCTCGCCTCCCGGGAATGGGAGCTGGGACCTGGAATGAATCACGACGCGGGCGCCTTTGTACCTTGCTAGGACCGAGAAGGTGTCCTGAACGTTCAGATCGAGGGAAAGTCGAAGTCCGTGCTGAAACATTTATTTTTCCAAAGTTTTCCGGTATTAGACCATTTTATATTTGTCGAACTCGCTTCGGCAGGAGCAAATATGTTTAGCTTATTGATAGGAACAGGCCAAAGGTCCCTAATAAGTGGTTTTCCTTTCTTATTTTTTTTTCATATAATGGGATGATGGATGGACCAGGACTATAATCTTGTTTCTCCTGGGATGAGATTTCAAGAGATGAAGGCAAACCTGAAAGCCAAAGTTAGACATGTAACGAGGGATCACGTCTTGCTTCACATAGACCCCGTCCGAGTTCGTCACGTACTTCTCCAAGAAGGGACTGTTGAAGGTGAAGCAATTCCCGTAGTCATCACTCTGCCATACGCTTCGGAAATGCACATTCGGCAGAAGGCCGGAAATATTGGAGTTTAATTTTCTCAAACGTATCCCAATATGACCCTGATGGTCCCGCATATCAAGTAGATACTGACTCGGTGCCGCAAAATGCGCGGAAAACTGTGAATTAATTGTTGTGAAGTCATTAACAAAAAAATTGGAGGAAAGAAGTCATGAGCAAGCGGATTCGCAACCCATATTGCTTTGAAACGGCCAAAGAGGATTCGAAGTGATTCTTGCCAAATTGGAAGAAACACAACCTTTTCCCAAGAAAAAAAGGCGAATTTTTGTATCGTAATCTTTTGTATTATATTGTAATATTTTGGGCGAATTAAATTCTTGCTTGGGCGGTCGTTTCGGTGGGAATATAATTCCTGGTATGCATATTATGTGGGAAGGGTACAAATTCGCCTGCTAAACGATGCCAGACCGTTGAAAGTGGGGCGTCATCTTTTGACCCTTTCCAGTCTGAATCGCGAAATTCTTGGAATTGTCGCGAATTTACCCGTCCAATGAAGGAGATGCAAGCCCCAACGTTTGATCTCTGGGTGATGAATGTGGAAGGTTAGAAACTTTGACCAGGAACGCCGGGAGGACTCTAGATATGAGACGTTGTCTTGGTTCCAGAGTCCACCTTCAAGAAATGAATGAAAGCGAAAAAAAAGACGCAGTGGGATTTGAAAAAAATGGATTGAACACACAGACGGCAGTTAAGCAGAAGAGAGCACATGAATGGGCGAGAAAGGAAAAAGAAAGGTTGCAGGATCCGCAGAATCAGAGCTTCGAAAGCAGACAATACGAGCGAGGACGACTTTTTCCCTCGCTTTGATCAATCGCATTCCTCTCGTCATTCATCACTTCTCGCGAGACTCCAGACTTTCTTCGGCTTCTCTCGCGAATAGCCCAGCACCGCCCATGCATGGAAGATGACGCCGACAGCGAAATATGCTGCATGGCATTGGTTCCCCTCGAATCTGATTCGAAAGCGGAGTCTGACGGAGATCTGTTGGATTCGCCTCGTTTCTGTGAGGTTCCCATCACGCAATGGGAAATCTGATTGGAAATTCTGGGAAATCGGATGAACGTGATAATTACATCCTTTCCCCCATTTAATCAAGGGGGATTCCCAATTGCTCCTGCTTCTCTGCCTCCCCCTCCTACTGTCAATTCCGCTCCATCGTCGCGGCAGCGCCTCGTTCGAAGGCGGTCCCAACAAGCGTCGCTCTCCGGGCCCTGACGCGGATCGCGGGTCTCGAGCATCGCAGTTCATCGAGCCGATTTTGGTCGAGTCGAGCATGTTGAGGGCTCACCGGGTTCGATCGACTCTTAATGCATGTCTGTTTCATATATCGATGTGCCCCTATAGGCGAACATGTGTCACCTATGAACTGTATTATTATAGGCTCCTGGGTTATGACTCTCGACACGCTCGTTACTCAGAAGTTGTACCGTTTTCTCATGGCGCTAAATTTTGACATTTTCTCGGGAGTTTGTGGCTTTCGTTAATCTCACGAAAGCCTGGCTAACGCATCAATCTCCAAGTAAAGCCATCGTAGCTGGAGTTTCACATCAAGCAACGGCGAGATTCATCTCGTTTCCGGCACACTTTTGCATCGACTAAATCTCCAGTCGAATCGACGGAACCGAGAGAGAAATGCGTTCATATTCACGAAACAATACACTTCATTCATATGTACTTCCACGCCATGGGTGGACTCGGGTCAATTACGTAATGACACGCGTTGAGGAGACTGAGCTTCGAGCTCGGGGCCAAGGTCCTTTCTTTTATCTGCACGGATGTCTGTGGATGTCACGTGGAGTCCCCTGCGTTTGGAGGGCTTTCCTCTAACTCAGGCGCCTTCCACGTGATTCCTTTTCAATCGAAAGATAACAGTTGGAGGAGGGGAACAGTGAACTTTATTGATGCGGGGTGACAACTTCACGCCAACCGGATTTCCGTTTCGTCTGATGAAATCTCGACATTGGGATGAGTCGGGCCGTTTGGGTAATCAGCTTTGGAACGATTCAGCTGCAAGGAGATGAGAAATTCCTTAGATACTTTTACTTTTCAGTGTCTCGTATACTTCATATATTTTGTTGCTACTGAGCCTATATCGTCTGAAATATAGGAAAAATCATTCAATATGACGGGAATGCAATGATGACATTCAATCGATGAGCATTTCCTTACATTGACCTTGAAACGTTGCTATTCCCTTCCGCGCTGCAAAATCAAGAGAAACCCATGGAGTCATTCGTTGGCAATGATCCTCATCTTTCCATGGGAATCGTGAGCTTCCCGAAGAATACTCATTTTTTGGTAAAGGGAAATTAATAAATCAATTGGTCTGTATTGCAAATTGCCAATTGCCACACAAAGGTTTGTTTGCGCTGGAAACTTTCAAAAGAGAGGAAATGAAAAATGAGTTGGGAAGGATTTGAAGTCCAATAGGATAATCATAGCATCCTCCATTTCGCTTTTACTTAATGCTTCTGCAGAGGATCATGCTCAACCTTGCCCATTTGCAATAGATGCTAAGTTTTCAGAAGTGAACAAAATTCCAGCATTGCCTTCAGGTGCCACACTCCCGAGCCGCTCCTCTCCTCCCTCACCCACAACTGACCCGTGTGACGTTGGGACAGAGACCCGAACTTCCTTTCCAGGGACGGGTTCACAAAGAACGGGGACATGTGGACCAGGGTCTGCATCCCCGTCTCCTGCAGTTCCTTCCGATTTTCTCCGATGGGGTACACAACTGAATGGCTCGTCGTCGGTGCTGCGTGACTCATCGTCGCCACATCTGCAGTTGGGTTCATTCACAGTAGGTACGATCTCGCATGGAGCTAATCATGATTTTGCTCTAATCTCTTATCTAGCGAGATGACATCAGTTCCATGAAGCAACTATTTTCTCGATTGAGAAGTATTAACGGAATGCAGCTATTGATTTTTCGCTATACCCATGAGGTGTTCCTTTGAGTTCTTGCCGTTCCGGACACGTTGCCGATGTTTGAAGCAACAGAAGGAGATGAACTCCACGAAGATAACCACGACCTCGACGACAGTGATCAAACTCAGACCTACAAACAGACCTATGGATCCGCCCAAGTTCGACACAAGGGTCACCCACTAAAAAAGAATAAATATGAGCACCATACGAACCACGAAATTTCCTTAAAATAAAGCCATGTTTTATGCTTACAGTGTAAGCAGGGCTTTCCTGAATCAAGGTAAAGGTGCTGCCTTCGAAGTAGACGTGCAAATAGACCGTGTTCCTGTCGGTGTCTCTGATTGAAAATCCATGCGAAATTTAAGACAGTGAATTCCAAGCAGGATATTTTTTTAATTTCCCTAATTGCAATGCTTACGGACTGCTGCAGACATCAGTGCCAAACTGGAGCCGTTTGAAGAAGGAGAGAGCGTAGAGGAAATTTTCGTTGGGGAGCACCTGCGATATGGTCGGGTCGTATCTCACCTCCCTAGAGAAGTATTTCCCAGAAATGAATGTGACGAAAACGATGATAGAGATTGGAGGTGATTGGAGATTTCTGCCGAATCCTCGACTCACGTGCAGGCAGGGGGGCACTTGCACGAGAGCTCTTGTGCGAAGAACTGCGTTTCAACTTCTATCAAGCAGGCATCTTTAAAAGCAGAGAGAAAGTAAAAACACACAGACTGCATTGTATACTCACAACCATATATATTTTAAATTCACCTGAGATACCTATTGCGAGAAAATGCTTTTGGGAGCGTAATTGAATGTTCCATCCATGTCAAACGTAGGCAAAGGTTGGCTGCATTCAAATTCATTCGCATCTGCGTCGAAATATTGAACAAATCCATAAAGGACTGAATTGAGATATCGGCTGAAGTTCGAGGGCCGCAGATGCCGCAGATCGTGTCTGCTGTATCCGTTTGCTTATCAGTCAATGGTTTTATTTATTATAATTAATTAAACATTTGGCAGTACTTTTGAAGGACAAATTTCAAGACATGTAACCGGTTGGAAGGAGGAAGCTGATATATGCATGATTCTGTTGATAAGCATTTCCACTTCAATTATTTCAAGCAATAACTCAGTAAGTCCTCCATTTTATTCAATGGCGTCTGGTAATTGCGTTGCATGATTTGTGCAACGAGCGGAAGGGCATGGCTAGCCGACAATCGACTTTTGATGCATTTAAATCTTCATTGATCCGGTTTTTCATTTCATGGAGCTTTCCTCTTAACATACCCCTACAAAGGATACTGCGGAATCTGCATTTTTTTTCGCAAACCTGTTATCACATATTTTCTCTGACGTTTGCAAAATACCTGTTGCAAACTTTGTTTTTCGACAAGATGATGATATCTTGGGCAATTCTTCACTTCTTACAAAATGCAAGACGTTATTACATTTAACATGTGGCCACCGAGTAGCCCCAATGCAGACCATGTTGTATGGGGTATGTTGCAAGAAACCAGGAGCATTGAAGACCTCAATCGAAGAAGTCAATCGAAGAAGTCAATCGAAGAAGTCAATCGAAGAAGTCAATCGAAGAAGTCAATCGAAGAAGTCAATCGAAGAAGTCAATCGAAGAAGTCAATCGAAGAAGTCAATCGAAGAAGTCAATCGAAGAAGTCAATTGGGAGAAAGCCATGCACCTCGGCTCCTTACAGCGCAGAATCGAACAGTGGCGCTTTCGATTGCAGATCACCATTCAACTAGAATGAAGGAACTAAATAATTTATGCAATAGGGAAACAAAGGGAAATCATATTCTAATCAGATGGTTTTTCCAGAGTCAAAGACAAGAGCCAAAGAGAGCCAAAGAGAATGGTGCCAGAGCTTTAAGTTATAATTACATAAACAATTAGGGGTTTTCTTTTTTTTTAGTCACCTTGTAAATTGTTTGACACCGTTTATTCGTTCAGATACAGTCAGAAAAATTAATATATATTTTTTTTAAATTGCAAAATCGTTGTTGTTTCGTTGGATTATGTACATTTGCCACACTGTGTTGGCACTCGGCCAAGTCCCTTACACTGGGAGATGTTGAGCGGATTGCATCGAGGCATGTCGTTGAGGCTGTCGAAGAGGGGATTCACGCTGTCCTTGCAGCCGCAGATCTCTCGGTACCAGCCCTCGGCGCAAACCTTCCTGCATGCCTGGGAAAATCACTTAGCTCTGACATCCATTTGGGGTGTTTGCTGTTGTGGGTGAACGTGGAGGGGATGCGCCACTATCTTTCAGGGTGAATTGTGGATATGAGAGTCAAGCCACTAGTGTGTTTTCCTTTCGTGCCATGGACAATGACAATGTCTGAGATTTTCCTCTCGCTCTTCATCTTTGTGTCCTTGGCATGGTGTACTCATGATCGCATCGGCACATTTCGTGCAGCTTTGATCCTATCTCCTCACTCTACTGAGTATTGGACCACGTTACCATACTACTCTTCCTATCTTGCGTTGCCTGTTGGCCCTACTTTGCCGAATTTGGTCGATCCACATTTAATCTAGCTCTGTGAACCACAACCGTGACGAATCCGCTCCCTTGTCATTTTCATCCTCCTTTCCAAACTGCACCCTCACAACTCTTTTGATTCTCCCCGTATTGATTTGTTATTAGGCTGAGTCATTGTTGGTAGCCATTAAATTGCTGGCTGTTGGACCAAGACCGTGTAACCTTTGTTTCCATACTACCTCGTCACGCTGTCGTGATTCATATTGAATTTGAATAAACTCTCGAATTTGAGTTCATATTGGCTATTTACTCTTTTCGGCTTGGTGAAACCGTCCTATCATTTTTTTTCCCATCCAACATCTCGTTGGCCTCTTCACAAAACCCCATTCACCCATTGCGTATTGTTTCCCTACCTTAGGAAAGCTATTGACTACTTCGAAGTATAAAGTAGAGTATATGCGTCAGTAGAGGAGTACAAAAAAGCTAGAGGTAGTAGTAGAAGGTTTTAGTAGAAGGTTGAGTAATGCGTAGAGTTGGGCATATACATAAGCTACATTGGCTCCAGTATGAAAACCATCTAGTGTGTAACGTGTTTATGAATGGAAATACGAAATTTCCCCCAATAACTGGCATATCTTATATTATAAAATGTAGGTTTATCCTGGAATTTGAATTACGAAAAATTTTTCTCGTACCTGCCTGAAAGGGTTAAGCGTTAAATCTAAAGCCTACCCTTAACACGACCATAACATCTTGAAGCAATGCAAGAATGGGTTTATATCCGATGCCAGATAGACGTCGTTTCATCTTGAGTTCGCGAGAAAATTAATTGTTCATTTGGTAACAGTACCTTAATTCATGTAATAATGCACTGCCAAGGACACAGGAGGCTCATAGAGGGCAGGAATATCCCGGACATTGTCAATGGCCAAGGAGGCCTAGAAGGAACATTAGACATTAGAGATTTGGGTGAACCCCCGCATCCAAAATCCAAAATTAATGAGAAATGAATTTTTCTATGTTCAACAGGTGGCTAGAATAGGGGCCTGTCAGGTTACAACTGCCAAGCCGCTCGTTCTAGTGCCTTCGTACGCTTAATGCGTTTTTTTAAATATCCATATAATAATGGTCAAAATATGCTTATGCGTATGACTATATGACAAGAGTTCCTCAGCTAAAAATTAATGTAAATATATTTCTGATGTGTAACTTAATATGTTAATGTAATTCCATTTTCCCCAAGTTTCCTGCCGTGGTAGCGATTATTATAGAAATGTCGCCTGATCTCTTATTCCTCTTTTTCTCAGAAGAGGAGGTTTTATATTTCTCTTTTGTTTACTAGTGGGTCGTATACACTGTATTTTTGAACTCATTTCATTTGATTTTTATTACAATGCCCATTTTAGTTCCTTAGGATGGGGAAATTTACATTTTCAGGTCGACGAAAACTCGGTAATAGTATTTTTTCCAATAGCTTCGTCAAATCGAATCAGCAGAACGAGAGATAATAAAAACGTGACGGCTTACTGATTGGGAATAGTTTCCAAGGTGTATCCAGTCCCAGTCCTTGCAGTCTCCATAGGGTCTTCCCACTCGCCCGATATCTTCCTGTGATCATAAGTTATTTTATCGATAGCATTGGAAAAAGAGAAAAGCAACATGCGATTTGAGTTCATCTGTTTCTGTTCCCAATACGGAGAGTCCTGCTAACGCAGGCCTTTGAGGCCCTGCGCCTCACGCTCACCCGTCTGAGGGAGGCAGTGGTGAGGATCCCGGGAGGGATGTTGAAGCCCTCGCCTTCCGGGAAAGGGAGCTGGGACCTGGGATGAATCACGACGCGGGCGCCTTTGTTCCTCGCCAGGATTGAGAAAGTATCCTGCACTTTGAGATCGAGGGCAAGTCGAAGCCCGTGCTGTAAAATTCATTTCTTCATCAATGTTTCGGTATTAGACCATCTTGTGCGCGAAAAATGTTAGTCGAACTCGCTCCGGCAAGAACAAATTTCTTCGTCTCTTGTCAAATAGGAAAGAGCGAAGGTCCTTAATAAATATTTTTCGTTTGTATATCTTCATTTTAGGTTTAATGGATGGACCAGGACCAGAATCTGGGACATTGTTTTTCCTGGGACGAGAGTTCATGAGATGAACGCCAACCTGAAAGCCAAAGTTAGACGTGTAGCGCGGAATCACATCTTGCTTCACGTAAACCCCGTCCGAGTTCGTCACGTACTTCTCCAAGAAGGGACTGTTGAAGGTGAAGCAATTCCCGTAGTCATCACTCTGCCATTGATGGAAATCCCTGAAATGCAATAGAAGGTGGTTCGAGAAGGTGGGTTGAATTGGGAGCTGGTCTCAGGCTCTGGACGCTTCGCACGAGGAATCAAATCCGCTCTACCTTCCTTGCACATCTTGCGCCTCGTCTTTCCAATGCATTTTTTGTATTATTTGACACGGGAGGTCCTAATTGGCAGATAGGTCTCAATCGTCGCCGAGCCGTGGAAGAAATACTGGTTCTTTAACGGCCGTCTCAATCCAAGCAGTGAAGGCATTCACGCGACCTTGCCTGGACTTATTTTAAATCCTCTCTTTCTAATGAGGGTTTCATCATAACGAAAGTCGCGTAAAATTTCTTGTCTGGGTTTACACTATTCCGTTCATATGCAAACCATCACCATTTCAAATCATCCGGAAACTTTGATATTGCCATGGAAACATCGTCCTTACACATCGACCTAATTAGGAATCGTATGTCTAACGAAAAAACTACTAGGGATGGAATAATACGCTCCTCCTACTGCCCTGTGCGTCCTGCCTTGAGTTCTCGAAGCTCCGAGAAACGTGAGCGTCATCTAGCGGGGGGTTTCAGTATTGTGTTAGGAACCCGGACGTATTAAGTTTGGGAAAATGCACTGAAACGGCTATTTGAATTAAGATAACTATTAAATCAACTTGGACAACCGATATTTGCACCAATAGGCTTTTCTCGCCTTGATAAAGCTTGTTAATTAGTTGCATATACCGGGTGTTGCACATAGACAACCCCCCCCCACATCCTAAACTATAGAAGCTAGGATACTATTTCAAATATATTTGAGTTCCTCGTCCAATTTTGAATCTATTTCCATCCAATTTTGTTTTTCCTGATGTCATATGACGGTAAAAAAAAAAACATGCATGCAAATACCGCACCCGTGCTATTGCGTTTCGGGCTCATTAATGCCAAAGCTGACCTCGTTACCCGTTCATGGGTTTCGAAAAATACAAAAAAAATGTTCAGCTTCTGTCTGATGAAGCCTTTGATCCTATGATCACACGGCAACGGCTGAAAGGCTCAGGGATTGCATAAGAAATGCGGACCGGCCAGGGAACTCTCCCGTTCTGAATGAGGCTGAGAACACCGCGGTTATCCTTCGAGACCGAGTGGAGGCCGGTGGAGGGTGACCCCGAATTTTTTCACCTAACCCCGCTCGTATTAGAGCTCTCAGAGGCAGAGTCAGGGTGCATAAAAAGTATACGTGCATGTTTACATTCGACAATGAATGCTCTTTCTAATGATGTACAATTTTTTTTCCTAGCTCTTATAGTTTAGGCTGTGGAGGGGGGGGGGGGGGGAGGGTGGATCTATGTGGGACTCCCGGTACATTCATTAAAGGCGATAGTACCGTATCGCGATCTTCATGCCCTTGAGCCGGTAATGAAGAGTCAGAACATATCTGTCTCCGTTCTTAAGAAACTGCACAATTAAAGAGGAACATGAATTTTAATGGATGTTTATGTAAACTGAAGAGACATCTGAAGAGGTGCATGGAGAAGTTTACTCTGAGTCTTCATCTTACCATGCTTTTAATCACTCCAATGTTGCACATGTTCAAAGAAAGACCCAATTTCCATAACATAGACAAAAAAATTTAAGTAAAGTAAAAAAAAAATTTCTATAACGAGGCAAAGCGATCCTACTGAAAGAGTGTGAACATTTCACATTTGTACCCCCCCGTGTACGTTTCTAATTTGTTCTGGAGACGAATAAAAAAAGTGAAAGGCTCACTTGTAGGAACAGTCCCGATTGTCAAAGCTGCAGCTGACGATGAGTTGTTTGCCGTCGATCCCGTACTTCTGGACCTCGTCCCGATCCGGCGAGTAGATCTGCAACAGGTCGCTCATGTCCTTGGTCCTCGACTGCGCTATCGTCTGCCCGAAGTCGCCGGTGACATCTGCAAGGAAAGGAGGTCTCTCGTCCGTCCGGATGCGAAAGGGATTGAAAGGTGTTGAAAGGCCTGGGACCGACAGTTCTTCTCGTAGCAGTAATCGCTTCCTGTGGGGCGGCGGACGCACACTTGGTCGCAGTTGCAGCCTTCATCGTGTTTTGTGTAGATTTCCACTACAAATCAATCATAAATTCCAATAATATGAGATTGCAGCAGTATCTTGGCAATTGCAGTCGAATGTTTATTGACGCATGTGTCATGGACCAGAAGAAGAAAGCATGCAATTTTTCAGGACGTTCTCATTTTAAAACTACCCGTTTGGGATCGAGGAATGAAATTTCGCTCGGCAATCGGCGCAATCCCGTCAAAGGTGTGCAAAAATGCAAAAAAAAAAATTCTGCGCATTCCGACCTTGGCAGTGCGTCTCGTCGGACATGTCGGGACAGTCGAAGACGCTGTTGCATCGCTTGTCCTTGCTGATGCAGCCGCCCCTGGTCGTGCAACCGAAAGCCCCCAACCCCTCGCAATCTGCAAAGTCGCCAGATGATGAAAAGATTCCAATCACCAAGCAAATCAGATTCTCTGACAATAATGAAAAAGTATTTTTTTTTTTAAATGGAGAACCGTACACTCGGTGCAGTTGAATTCGTCTGAGCCATCCTTGCAATCAGGGAGGCCGTCGCATCGCTGCTCCCCATGGAGGCATTCCCTGCCGTTCGCGCACGTGAAGGAATCGTTCATCGCCTCGCAGACTGCAATGGAGAGGAAACCACGCGATGGGGTTTTCGCGGTTTCCCATTTTTGTTGCAGGATTTGACTTCTCAGAGAGTGCAAATGAGCCTGTCTGAAGTGAAATCTTTCCGTGGACATCTGAAGGCTGAACGAGGAAGGTAACCTACCAGAACTTTTCAGAGCCACTGGAACCGCCTCGGATCGGCAGCTGGGGCCCCGATCCCTTCGTGTCATCTGGTAGAATTCTGACTTCCCAAAACGGCGCGAGGGGAAAAAAATCGCGCCAGCGCTTCCGATTATTGGCAAAGATTTTGCTACTCGGACGAGACTCCAGAAACTCTTCGACGGATTATCCTGGAGTCTAACCGAGGATAGTCCCATCGCGCTTTTCCGGATTCGTTGCTCTTGGAATCCTCACGGCATCTCAATATTTAAGCTTTATTTACACATCAAGCCAGTGAAAAACAATGCAAATATTCTGAATGGTCGGGACCATTCTGGTAGTCTTCGATTAAATAATCAGTGTTCATAAATCTCTTCTCTAATTAAACTCGTCGGCAAAAAAAACCTTGCAGATTTTGGCAACGAGCTTGCAAATTACGCAAACCGCGGAGATCGCAACGTGTTTCAGGAAGGAAAATTCGAAGAGGACTCACTGGACTTGAACTGGTCGCAGACGAAGGTCTCGTCCGACTGGTCGAGGCAGTTAATCCTCCCGTCGCACACCTTTCGTCGGGACAGGAATCGATGTAGTCGGGACCATGACGCAATTCGGGTTGTTGGTGATATAACTAGGGGACGCAAAACTGCGGGGATCTCCTGAGGACTAGCTTTATGGGATCCCGAGTACGGGACTTGGAATACTGAGCCACTTTCGGGGGAAATGAAACACGTTTGTGTTTGTCTCGGCGAGGAAAGGTCGCATTCTTGGGTAACGTTGAATTTCAACGTAATTCTGGTCTGAGATACTCAAGATCTGGATTTTATCAGGTTCTGCCCGTTACGGCTTATTATGTCATGGTTATGACATCCTGGAGGATGTCATCATCAGAAAAGGAATTGTCAGGTTGGGACCTGGGCCCATTGGGGAGTGAAAAGAGTTTCTTCTGCTTCAAATTGTCTCTCCGATTCCAGCTTTTTGCCATTTCTTAAGAAATTGTTCGACTCCATCGGGATATCGGGAGAAGGACAAGGATCGAATCCAAAGGTTTCGATTTCCCGCAAAGTACAGCTCGATGGGATCTGAATATGGTATGGATGGTAGACTTCGCGAGGTCTGTGACAAGAACATTTCAGTAGCATGCCCAGAATGCTGACAAATTCAGAAAGGAGCCATGTTGCTACTTCCTTGGAATTCCCTTTAAAATGTTTATGTATGTGACGTTTCGGTTTCTATTATTCTTTTCACAGCAGGAGAGGCTCCGCAGACGATCATGCTCCCCTTCCCCCCCCCCCCTCATCCCTCCCCCCCCCCTCCCTTACATGCCCCCCTTCCCCCCCCCCCCTCCCTCCCCCCCCCTCCCCCCCCCCCTCCATACCAGAAGTTGTTGCCTACTTCCTAATTAAGGCGTGATCCCAGGCGCTGATTACCACCCTTTAAAAAAATAATGTGTATATTGTACTGTATGTACAGGGGTTCGATTTTTGTCCTACCTGCGCGATGTCGATGCAGTAAATGTTGATGGACGGACCCGACTCGACGGCGTCGTTGAGACAGGGCACCTTCCGCGCCTCCCCACACACCTCTGAAAACGCGAACCCCCACTTTCAACTCTTCGCAAGGCGAAGAAACTCTCGACGAGAGGAAGAGATCGGGGAAAACTGAAATCGACCGGCGAAGACTTTTGGATGGATGACGACCGTCATGTTCTCGAGGCACCGGGCCGCGACATCCCCGGTGCAATTGGCCCCCGTCTCGTTGCATCCCAGCAGATCCGAATCGCCCAAAACTAGAAATAAGCAAGGCAAAAACTGAAAAGCGGGTCGAATGGCAGAACGTGGTCGATCGAAGGGCTGGCGTTTACCCGTCGACCGTTTTTCTCGCGGATGGGCCTTTTCCACAGCTTCCCTCGCCTCCTTAGCCACCTAAAATAAAATTTAAATAATTTTAGACTCGGACACAATGGTGTAAAAAAAAAAGAGCGATTGCTCCCGCAAGAAGAAATATCCACTAGGGCTCCAACCGGCGAATGGGGAAAGAGAATTTGCTCGATGTGGAGAAAATTTCAGCGTGTAATTAAAAAAATTTATATCTCGTGTTCAATCGAAGCATGCAGCAACTCCTCCTCACGCCCTGCAAGAGGTTTCAAAGCTTGCACAGACCGAAACGAACCTCGAAAATGATTTCCCATCGTTCTGCAGGACGTGTGACATTAACCTCGAGCTGTAAAATCTCGCTTGTTGGATGCAGTGGATTCGGCGAATGGGTCAAACGAGTCACGTGTTTGGGGGGCGGCCGCGAAACATCCGTGCTGGGATGACATATTTATGAATAACGTAACGTTACAAAGCCATAACAACATCCATAATCTCGTGACATAAAATAAAAAAAGTGTACAGAATCGTTACGTTACATGGCCCTGCGGCAGGCTGCTGAAATATTGAAACAATTTCTGAAAGAATTTCGATCGCTTAGAAATCGACATTTACCTGATGAAACACAGCACGCAAGTAGCCATCGACGAGTTTGCGCCGAACGTCTTGCTGCAGCTCGAAAGTCGCCTGGGGTCTCTCCCGGTCGGAGCGTTTCTTACGTGCTGCGAACGGAGGGGGGTCGGTTGCGAAGGAGGAGGTCGACGGAAGGAGGAGGAGGTTCTCGGTGTTTTGTCTCTCACTGCCGATTGAGTTTCCTTGGGCGGGCGAGGGCGAAGAGTTCGTCCAGGTGGCAGAGTTGTTCGAAGAACTGGAGTTTGAGAGTCCACTCCACGAAAGAGAATCCGTGTTGTTGGCGGTGTGGTCTGTAGCGTTGTTGGTGGTGTGGTCTGTAGCGTTGTCGTTCGGTAGCAGATGCCAGTGGTCTTCAAATGACTCCAGGGGGTTCTCGTCGAAGAGGTTTTTCCAGCAGGGATTCAGGTAAAAGAACTCCTTGGGGGGATTGTGGTAAAATGAGTCAGAGCCGCTCCACTCGTTGGACTGGAACTGGTTGCTTCCCTCCGTTGGGCTGACGACGGTGCACGCCGGTTCCAAGGCAGCCCGCTTGATGTCGCTCACCTCGCTATTCCCCACGGTCGACCGGGTAGGCTTGGATCGTAGCTGGTCGCACAGGTCCTGCACCTGCAACCGGGTGAGGCCGCTTGGGTCCATGCCTGCTGCCGTGTCCATCCAAAGGTAGTCGTCGAGACAGAGCTCGGTCTTCGAGGCTGCCAGAAAGAGTTTTGAGAATACAAAGGAATCAAAAGAAAGAATCAGAAATTCGTGTCAAATATCAATATGGAGGTAATTTAGAATTGGAAGTTTGGTTGGGCCGACATTCGAGAGGGACGGGCGCAGGAACTGGTAGACTATTCGCTATCGGGACTTACTGTCACCAATGACAAAACGATATTGGGAATTTCCTTCGCGAAGGAATGTCGAAGTGCGAGACTTAGAATGCACTCAACCCCAGTCCGATTTGGAAAGACGATGGGCTCGTTACAGGATCTAACGTGACTCACGATCCAGATCGGCGTAGGACTCCCCGCCGCGGAGTTTCTTCTCGCTGTCGAGCAAGGCGACCATCCTCGGGCTGAGGATCTCCATCTCCCTCTCGACCGCATAGCGGCTGAGCACGTTGAAGCTGCACACTGTCACCGCCGGGAACTCCATCTTCGACTCCTGCATCACCTTTTCCGTCCGAAGGAGATATATTCACTCTGTTGTGTGCAATTTCCAGGAATGTGTGGCGTTCGTGATCTTGAGCGTTTCTTTTACTAGCTATTTTGATTAAATGACAACTTACAAGTTATGTTTCATTAGCAATATGCATGCGACCTATATGCATCGTCATGCTCCAGCTCGCACTCACTATCATTTCCAAGTTGAGAGCAATCCGATCCGAATGGTTCATCAACTACATGGCTTCATCTACTCACAATGATGTCACCTACGCTGTGCAGTCTGGCGGTGCAGGCTCTGTCTTCGCATCGCCAATAGGTCTTCGGCTCGAGTTTCTTGTCGAGTTGGTAGATACAGCCATCAATGAGAACTTTACGATGACCACGCTGGGTTATCCGAAACTGGAGGGCGGCCATTGCGAGAACGCAATGCTGTCATGACGTTTTAGCTTTTTGCATGCAGTACTGGGAAGGGTGAGATTAATTATTAGGAAACTATTCAGGATGCGTACGTTGACACTAAACAGGGACGCACTTTCCCCTCGTTCCATCCTCATTGACACTAATCCATAACCATGGCGCCACTTAATGCTGCTTGCCTTGCCCTACCCAGAGATTCCTCACTCCGTCCGTAGGGACGAATTATTCCTGTCTAGATAGAACCGTCTTAGCTTGGCAAGGACTAACTAAAATCGTACATTTGAAATATGCCCTCTTAGCGTAGATTATAGGAGGGAAGTATTTTAAAATGTATTCTCCACCCTTACAAAAAGATTTCAAGTTAGGCACACAGAATCATAGAAGTAATGATTTTGATAAAAATCAAGACTTTCGACACCATATGTCACGTATTTCAATGGGGACGTACTTTAAATACGTGTTTCTCATTTCGCAAAAAATAAATGAATCAATCGCTAACCAAGGTAATGGAGCGCCGAAGGCGCGACGATAGCGAGTTTGTTTGCCCGAAGGGCATACAAACTCGCTAGTATATAATATTAATAAAAGTAGAATTTTTTCTTTACTCAGCTATCCATCAGGCGCTGGAAAATTCGGGAAAATACACCGTTTGCAAAGTATGTGGTCTCAGGCGTTTTAAACGAAAAGTACAAGTTTTGCCAAAATCAATCCTCAGTGAACTACATGCCCACAAAGTTGCAATCATATACGTTTGCCCTTTTCGCTGGTGAAAAATCATGTTTGGGAAAGCCGACCCACCCAAAAGCTATGCCTGGAGGGGATGCACCGTGAAAGCTGAATAATCCCTCAACTCAATATCATGTCACTGTATCGGGATGTACTGATTTTTTTTTCTTTAACTCTTTGTCTCAGTAGTCACGTTTATGCAAAGTTTCAGCTTAATATGTTAATCAGTTTAACTGATGCAAAAAAATTATTTGAAAACATTTCCCTTTCAAATTTGTGCCCCCAGGGCATTTACTTCCAAAGTCTGATTTTTATGCACGCAGCATCCCAATAGGTCGTTATGTACCAATTTCATCTTTCCACAGTAGCTCAATACGCCAGGACAAAAAAAAAAACTTGAAAACGTCGGCCCCAAAAGAATATGCCCCCAGGGCATGGATATAAAATTTAAAAATTTCCTGAACTCATCGTCTCGGTTGGCACGTCCATGCCAGGTTTCAACTTTCCATGTCTCTCCGTTTTATTCAAGCTAAAATAATGTTATGGAGGGGGTATGAGTAACGGAACATGAAAGGGAAGAGAAGCCAAAAAGAATCCATGGAATGTCCGGGAATTGAACCGTGCCTGCTGATTGCCGATCAGGTTTGATATCTCTACACCAAGAAACTGGGACATCATTCGAACCTCTCTATGTTAAAATTTATCCCTCACAATATGTATTTAAAAAAACTTATCACCCAAAAATGTGTACGCCCAGGGCATATACCTCCAAAGTCGGATTTTTTCTGAACTCTGTATCCCAAAAGGGACGTGGGTACCAAGTTTCAGATTTCTAACCTTTATAGAACATGGTTAGAATTAGCGTCAGTCTTTAG